AAGGCAACAGTACAAGTGCTCAGCCGTCGCGGCAGTAAGGGAGCTCTCACAAGGTCCATTATGCTTTTGATGTGAGGTTGCTTCTTGCTCCTAATATAAACTGAAACCCAAAACCCCGAAATCCCAAACCCTCAGCCCTAACCCTGAAACCCAAAACCATAAACGCTAAGATTGCTGCACCTGGACGGCTGCCTCGCCTGGTGTGCCACCTCGAGGTAATCTCAGATCACACCGTGCGCAGCTGAAACTTGCGCTGTGCGACTTCGTAATGGCACCTAAAGCCTCTACCCCAAGAATAGGCACTGCAGTTTTGTTATATAGGGTTCTCATCGGGTTATACAAAGGTTGTATTGGGTTCTCATAGGGTTATTATTATTCTATATATATGTATGTATATATGTATATATATATATAGGTTTCGTAACAATGCAGTGCGCAGAAATTTCCGGACTCAAACCCTTAGGGTGCATCTTGCCGTGGTGGCTGCGTACGACAAACCATCGTAATCAGCATCATCATTACCGTCATCTTCATCATGAGTATCGTAAACTGCAAGTTCAAGATTGCAGGTTCGGCGCTCGCAGATGCGCCCATGCTGGTATCTGTTCCTCAACTTCACGAAATCCTGGTCGCTGGGGCCCAGAACGAAGAGCATCGGCCACCAGCTGGCATGCGGAGGAGGTGGCTACGGGGCTTAGGCGTTAGGGCTTCAAGGGTTTTGGATAGTTTTGTTGGGTCCAGGGTTCAGGGTCGGCCGAGGGTCCAGGGGCTTGGGGCTTCTGCGGGTTTTGGGGCTTAGGAGCTGCACAACTCCAAACCCCGAACCCTAAACCCCAAACTCTAAACCCTCTTGTGTTCAGCCTGTGAGGCCTCGCACAGCATCCTTGAGTCATGGTGGAGCAGTGCTCCCTAAACCCGCGTTCCTTTCGTTGTGAAAACCTTCTAACTTCACAGGCTTGCGCCAGGCTGTCACAGACAAACAGACAGCCTAGAACGATCCGACCTGAGACCTGGGAAACAAGAGGCAAGGCTACGCGTGTGGCATTGGCACACTCTGCCTGCTGACTCGCTACAAGGCTGCCGCTGACAAACAGACATGCATACACACAGACGCGCTATTGCAGCAGCCGCTACAGTGACTGCAAGCCGGACATGAGCGGGACAGTGATTCGGATTGCATAACCACAGTGGACTGCAGTCGCCAACTGTAGTAGAGGCGTCTGCGGAGCTTCCCGATAAGCACAGCACGGCAGCTGCTGTCAGGCTCACCCCCCTAAGGGATCAAGTTGGTGTTTTGACATCTGGCACAAGGCGCGTCACTGGCATCACGCAGTTGATCGCACAGCAGGGATTGCCACCAAGCAGGCTCTAGCCTGCATAGTCTGCAGAAGCCTCACTCCTGCGTCGAAGGGAGGCTCTGGCACCGAAGCCTCGACGCACAGCTCTTGGAGTGGGGCAGTGTGGACTGCGTCTGGTTCCTCCCCGGAGAAGCCAGAGCGCGAGCGATGTGCTGTAGGACCACCGCAGCACCCTTGTCCCAAGTCCCGGTGGTCTCAACAACCATCGGGACCTTCCTTTCGTGGCAAATTTGAAAGAGATCTCCAAGAGATGATGGGAGGCCCTTACTTGTGGTGAAATGCCAGGGCCTTGCACCATGAAATCGAGGATCCCAGAACTCTGAACTTTCAGTTTAGGGCTTGAGGGCTGGGTTTTGAGGTTAAGTGTTTTCGACTACCGCCCATTCCTGAACCCTGAACCTCTCACAACACCCGCAACACTGCGCGCCTTGTAGCTAACATCATCAGGGAGGCAGTGGCTTCCCTCCATCTCGCTCCTTGGGAGTTAGGGCCTTAGGGGGTTAAGGGGTTAGGGTTTAGGGTTTAGTTTTTTGGGTGTAGGTCTGGACACCACAGAGAGATCCTTGAAGTGACCAGAACGACCTTGTGGGTGGGGCACGTCCCCTCATGCACAACTTCCAGCCGTTTTGTGCACATCGTGGCAGGAGAGCAAGAAGGGGAAACAAGCAGTGCTGCCGTTGTGTGCTTGATACGGCTTTGAAGCAGAAGGATCCGTATACGGACACCAGTATCCCTAGAAGCCCCCACCCAATTCACCAACAAAAAGTCCTTGAGAATCAGGAAAGCCCTCGGCTTTAAGAGCCTGACAGTAGAGACTGAGCCTGTTGCCACCTGGGCATCGGGGTGAAAAAAAGTTTTTGCGGGATTTGGTGGCCTTAGGGGTTTAGGGCCTGAGGGTACAGGATCTGGTCACAGTAGAGAGCCCACTTTCATCTTCCGTCCCGCCTCGCGCTCCGTGATAAGGCGCCAAGAGCGCAGTTGAAGGTGATGACCTGCAGAAGAGACCGTCTAAGAAGGCCGCTGATGGGACGCTCATCGAAATTTACATGGGGGAGACTCATCCCTCCACACCACGAACATCGAAAGTCGAGGGCTCCTCACTAATGAAGCTCGCGACAGCGAATGGCGGCGCTTCAGAAGTTTGCTCTTCCTCACCCAAAAACCCTAACCGGAAAACCGAGACCCATTCGTTCGAACCTCTCAGGTCCAGACATCCACGTCAATGCCTCCCCTCGGCATAAACAGTGCAGGCTCGTCATGCTACGACCATCTTCGTCAACTTGAACATGCCACGCTCAGGGGCTTAAGTGTTAACAGCCTAGTGTAGACCCCTTGCGAAGTCCTCTGAATTGACCAATGCCGGCTGACAAATCTCAAGCAGATGCCTGAGACCTATCCCTCAACAGGCCTGAGTCTGCTTAGGACAAAAGGTCAGCTAAGCCTGCTGCGCCTGCGCCTCGTGCAGGAGCTGAAGACTAAGATCCCAACCTCACGATTCATGGACTCACTGCAGCCACTCCTCTGCTGAGGAGAGACGGGGCGTGGTGTGGGAGCTATGACGCTCACAGCTCACGTGTCATTTGCCTTCATCTCACTGGTGGGACAATTCTGACATGGATTCAAGTGCCGACGCTTTTTGTTCGGCATGGCTTTGTCAGCAGCAAGGGAGAGCACAGCAACAACCGTGACCAATGCCGCTATCACTGACAGAACACACTGTGAGAGTTGAATGCGCAGCCGGTTTTGGTGGTTGGTGTTGAAGGCTGGCCATAAAGCCTAAAGCACACAACCCTCCGCCCCCAAAGAAACTTAAGAGAGTTCCAGGTGCGACAGGCACCTGCATACTGTGGCTCGCCCGGTGATGAGCATGCGCTCATATTGTAACTAAGCATGTTGAATCTGAAGATTGTTGAATGATGACTAGGTTTGATTAGATTAGACGAGACGTACATTCCTGTCTCCTTGTTTCCTTGTTTCTATTGCATTCTATTTCGATTACATATTTATTTTTACATATGTATGTATATATATATATATATACATATACATACATATATACATACATACAAACATACATACATACATACATACACAGGAGTTTCAGACACTGGGAGACCCGCCGAGAAGCCAGGCGAAACCCCCATGTTCAGGATTCCGGGATTTAGTGTTCAGGCTTGAGGCATTAGGGTTTTTTTGAAGTGTGTTAAGGGCTTAAGTGTAGGGTTTAGGGTTGAGGGCCTGAGGGTTTAGGGTTTTGTTTTGACACCTCTTTTCCTCCCGCACAGTTTGCTTGGCCAGAACACCTTAAGGGTTTACGGTTTCGGGTTTAGGGTTTAGGCAGCAGATGCCTTGAAGGCTCTTGAAGTCTTTGTCTTTGACAAGGCTAGGACTGCAGACCGAAAAGCTGAGTCTCTGAGTGCACAGGCGTTGGGCGGCGCCGCACGCCTTAGCAATCCGTCAAGACCGCGGCCGACTAGGTTGTGAGGCTTCGGAGTTCAGAGGTTGGGGGTTTAGGGCTTTTGGGGTTTAGGGGCTTAGGGTTTAGGGGTTCAAGATGGTACAAGATTGAGAAGTTTCGGAGTTGAAGGTTTAGTTTAGAAGCTGGTGCTCCGACTCTGGCTTGGCGAAAACCTGCGGCTTTTCGAAAGCCAAGCAGCTTTGATCACTGAGCTGATGGTGATCACCTGCGGCTCAATCCTGGCGCAAAAGCCGTGAGGTGTTCCTTTTGACATGCTATGTGGGAGCAAAAATCGAAGGCCCAAAAGGGCACGAGAAAAAAGACAAAGTGCCTACATTGGCCTACATGATCTGGGAGGACAAACCTACGCTCCCACAGAGGACTGGAAGTCGGCGGCGCGCCCGTGCATTCGGCTGTCGTCCAACGTCTGAATAGCACCGGTCCAGTGAGAGCCTCTTCGGCTTTGATGCTTTGGTTCAGAGCTTGCGGCTTCTTCGGCTGAGGATCATGCTGAGAACACTTCTGCGAACAGGAATGCTCTTCCCTGCTTTCTTGATCATAGCTTCGGACTCACATGGCCGATGTCTCAACACAGCAAACCGATTGCCGTGATCCCCACGTTACTGCAGAGGTACATCCATCGTAACAGGCTTGACTGGCTTGGTTTCGATGGGATGGGGGTGACCGGCTTACTGCCAGTACGTAGGACTCAGCATGACAATCTCCGTGTCTGGGACCTTTGAACATGAAGGGGGTAGTCTGTCTTGTCCCAGGGCCGTTAGGCGGCTTTGCGTTTCTTTGGTATCCGATAGTGTTCTCAGCGTCGGTGCTTCTGCGGCTTGTCAAATCCAACACAAGCTAAACTCCAGACCCCAACAGCCAGCCCCCGAGAAACCATTGAGTCTCGCATGACCGGGAGCCCAAAGCTCCTTGTGTCTTTTGCCGGCGCTGTGTGCTCTTGCGTTGCATCCCAGGCGGGATCTGAAACGCCCCTTGCTTACTTTGAGCTGGGGCGTCCCGGTATGCACAGCGAGCCAGGCGGCACAAGCGTGAAGTCCTCCGTCGCCCAGGCAGCAGAAAACTGAAGACACCAAGATGTAGAAGTTCTAGTCCTGACTGGTGAGATCTGTCACACTTCTGAAACGCCAAGTGGGCAGATCATCTTCACGTACTTTCACTGTCGCTCATCTGGAGTCTGGAGGCTGGCAGCAGAACGCCAAGCCTCCGCGACACATCGTCAGCATGTTTCGTGCCAGGTCTTCTGCGGCAAGCCACTGGTGTCGGAGGCTTTCGCAGTAGGCCTCCATTGTGCAGAGTATTTTGATGTCCGCGACGGCCATCTCCTCGTGTGGCCCCAAGCTCCTCAATTTTTCCAGCTCGTCCAATCTAGGCTCAACCAAAGAGCAGAGAGCCCGGTCATAATCTAAGAAAACTTTTAGAGCCTTGAGGCACATGCTTTGACAGCAGTCACTTCTTGTGCTGGTGCAACAAAGGTGGATTAGTGCGTCTGTAACGGCCGGGTTGTGAGTGCCCAGCAGTTTGGGCCCGCAGCTAGCAAATGCAACGCAGGCTTGAAGTCGTATCTTGTCATCGGCTCGCAAGAGGATGGCGATCATGTCCTCCACAAAAAGATGTCGGACATATTCGCTCTCTCCTTCGGAGAAGCACTGCCGCGCAGCTACCACCATCACCATCTGCGCACTGTCTGCCACTTCCTTGCGAGGGTCAAAGCAGAACTCCCTCATGTTCTGCGCCACTTGCGAGACGGCTCCAGGCACAACTGTGTGCCAAAAGTCGAGCCCCGTCAAGAAGGTCCTCAAGCTTGCCTGACCTTCCCGAATATGTGGTGGAAAGGTGCCATGTTTCCAGAAGTCCTCCTCGGACTCTCCGCGTCTTTTTGCCATGAGCAGATTCGCAAAGGCCAGGAACACATCTGCCTTGGACGGTTCGATGAAGTTCACCAGGCGCTCCACCAAAGCCGTGGATGGCAAGCCCTCACGCTGCTGTGTGCACGCCGCCCGGAGCGGCAAAAAGTCTGGCATGGCCAAATGCTTGGCCAGCATTAATGGAAGTTGCGGAAATAGTGCGTTCAAGGATTGCACTGGAACCTTTGCGCTTGTTCTCCGATGCAGCTGTTGTGCGAAAGCACAATTGGGCCTGCTGCCCTCGTCAGCAACCACGTCCACGTCTTCGAGCTCCATGAGCGCATCGCGCGGGTCGCCGAACTCCACATCAAGGAGAGAGGATGCTGGATGACTGGGGCGCCACTCGCGACTTTGCGCTTGCGGCACGCCATCGGCAACATCCACGAGCTCCACGCATTCCACCGATACTTCTTCGGTGAGCTCTCCTTCGTCGGCAATGCAGGAGCCGACACCACAGTTCCCCATGAGGCTCGGAGTGCTAAGCCTGCCAAGCCACTCAGTGGAACGGGGCCGAGCAATGTTTGCGATGCAGCGGTTGTGGTACACTTTGCGCCTTGGATGCCTTGGGAACAAGTTTGGGGACCCTAAAAGGAAGTTGTGGAAGCCTACCACTGCAAGACTGTTTGTGAAAGGGCGGCAGGAAACGGCTTACGGCTACGACAAATCGGCAGACAAATCCTTCAAAACCCTTGAGGCTTCAGAACACGAGTGACGTTCATGAACCGACCTATAGGTTACTCATTCTCAGAAGCTCAAAGCAACTTCATTCGCGGCTCTTCTCGTTGTCTTGGAGACCTTGTCTGAGACCCTAAACCCTAACCGCCCTAACCCCTAAACCTCTAAACCT